GAGAGAGAGAGAGAGAGAGAGAAAGAGAGAGAGAGAGGGGGGGGGGGGAGAGAGAGAGAGAACAGGAGGAAAGGCATCTGAACAAACCTGGCCTTTGAAATGAGCCAGATTCATTCGTAACCTGCTCGTGTGAGCGCGCGGGCAGTGCAGGCAAGGAGAGAAAGAAGCTACCGGCCGAGTGAGAACGGAGCCCCGTAGAATCCTGTGCGTGGTAAGCTGAGCCGACGGGTAGCGAACTGGAACTGCGCAGAGCTGTACCAGGCGGAACAGGATACCTGATGGCAGCAAGAAAGCCAGCCTGGAGCTGCGCTGGGCAACGTGAACAGCGCGCCAACAGGGTCCATTCTACGTGGAACTGAGAAGAACAGAATGAGTTACCAGTCATATCTGCTGCTCGCGGTGCGAACGGGACTGTGAGCGAGGAGTCTAGATTCCCTGACCGCGAATAGAGGGTGGACTTCAAGTGCGAGATAGGAGGGGGAAATGGGTGAAGACTGCCAAATCAAGGTTGCGTCTAAACTAATCAAGTTGAGCGCGAACTAATCAAACGCCCACGGTGATAACCAACGCACACAAACTGCGTACAGACTATCGCGGTCGGAACGCTTCAGTGACGATCAGACGAAAGAGTGAATCCGGGTAAACAATCAACTGGCAGCGCGCAGCGGGCGTCGATCCGCTCGAGTAATCATCAGACATATCATCAGACATATCATCAGACATATCATCAGACCAGGCTCACACCATACCAGACCATGTCGGGTCATATGATATCCAGACCGGGCAGAATCAGATCCGGATCAGATCAGACCTGAGCAGAACAGACCGTACCCAGACCGGATCAGACCGGATTATGCCAGTCCAGACCGGATCAGGCCAGGCCAGACCAGATGAGACAAGATCAGACTAGATCATACATGACAGATCAGGCGGAACTGCATCAGATTAGAGCAGACCACACCTGGCCAGACCAGATCAGATCAGACCTGATCCAGTTCAGACCGAACCAGATCAGACCAGACACGGAACAGATCGGACTAGATAAGACCAGACCAGATCCGAACCAGACTTGGACAAGACCAGATGAAACCAGACTCAGACCAGAATCAGACAAGACCAGATGAAACCAGACTCAGACCAGACCAGATGAGACCAGACTCTAGCCAGACTCGGACCAGACCAGATGAGACCAGACTCAGACCAGACTCGGATCTGGCCAGACCAGACCAGACGAGGCCAGACCAGAACAGACCTCAGGTCAGACCAAGACCAAGGGCAGGACCAGGTTTTCGCCGAGTGAGCCAAGGCGGCGTCTTTTCCTACAGCTGAGCGACCTCATGTCGTGGACTCAGATCGAGAATCGGGCCCCAATGGGCCCACGATGCTACTTCGGGCTCGGAGGGCTCTAGTACGAACCCCTGGGACTGACGGAGCGGTACCAACAACAACTCATTGATCGTGGGATCCATCAAAGAATTCTCACACGATCGGTTATAACTGCACTTTTGAACTGGCGTGACGGAGGTTGTCTTGGGATAGGGTGAAGGGCATCTGCACTGAATTTTATTGACTGAATAATTTAAAACAATATTCTCGTTCTTTCGTCATTTTCGTGAGTTTTCCAGTTCACACCTTGTTCTCGTATCTGACTCAGTGGTGGATCTAGTAGGTTACAGGAGCCCCGATCAATCCTCCCGTAGGTGATAGACATGGCGCGAGGTACAGGGTCCGATCGGCGTGCCGACAAACCCCTCCTACCGATCGACAGTGGCACCGTTGCCGGGGAAGGCTACCTCTCGAGACTTCGGTCCGGCTGTAACCGCAGAGGTGAGGTAGGCGATGGTGTTCAAGGCGTTCAACTCCATTACCGACGTCGGTATTGTTTCTCTTGAAAATGGCGGGGTGCGTTGAGGTGAGAGTGCGGCGGTGACTGGCAGTCCAACCCATCTCGATGACCCGGTGAGATATTTCGAGTATTGCTTTTCTGCATTTCTGTTTTCTGCATGGATTTCCTCTGACATGTTTTTGTGATTGAAGGGAGATTGTCTTCTGATTTCCCTACCCTTTGTCAATCCACCTGATTCAGATCTCTTTGAGTGAAAATTGTGAGCAGGGGATATATCGGAGGGATTGAAGGCGAGGGGAGAAGCGCCCCGGATCGCAAGGAGTTGGGGGGAATAGATAGGCTAGCTGATCCGATTGCTAGCGGGAGGTCTGATTTGGACACTGCACAGTGTCGAGGGAAAGCGTCCCGGGTAAATCCATGTCTGAGGTAGGCCGAGTAGAGACATGATACCGGATAGGATTGCACGAGGGAGATACCACCGTTCCGTGAGCGTGTGATTTTGGTCCGACCCTATGACGCACAAGTTGGCCGGCTCGCGTCAAGGGATTGCTCTCGGGATCGGTAGGCTAGCGATGATGGCGACATGGGATCGACCTCTCTTTCGACATAAGGGTTGGAGGAGATACGCCTGAGGGCGGTTCTCTTCTAGGCCTGTTGACGTCATCTGGGATATAGGTGAGTCCAGTGGAGGCCTGTCATGGAGATCTATGAGCTCATCAGTCGGGTTGGGCTACACAGTGTCTGAGGAAGTGAACTTCCATCTTTTCGTTGATTAGTTGGATGGATCGAGGGTTGGAGAAGAAGCACTGGAAAGTTATGGAGATAACTTATCTTTCCGAAATATGAGTGAACGTAATATTCATGTGAGTAAGATGGGGGTTGAAAGTTCCGATGAAGGAGACAGGATGGCGACGGGAATAGGAGAAAGGAGGAGAGGTGGGTTTGAAAACAGACCACCTCATACAAAGGCGGCAACCGATGTAGGAATCCCTGAAGAAGAGACTTGGCGAGAGGGACGATATGAACCTCCATGTGGACCAAGTCCATATTTTATGGGATACAGACATCTATACGGTCTTTTGTCCAACCAACCGTCGGATTTCAGTTCGACTCTTTATTTCACTGGGCATGGGGTAACAGAATTCCTGAATGACTGAGAAGTTTATGCCTTGAGAGAAGGATGGGCTGATCGGGAAGTGATAATGAGATTCATTAATCACACCGATCTCAAACTAGACAAAGACGTGCGTGCTGCTATACCCGAGGATTGGAGGTGAGGAACTTTCCGAGAGCGATTGTCTCGAGTCTTTGCTTGCGACGATATCTCATACTCGGTCGAGGACTTAAAGGAGATGAAGAAGGAGGAAGGAGAGACGTTGGTGACGTTTGCAAGACGCTTTGAGACGGTATCTGGACCATTGAAAGAAAATGGGTTTCTCGGTGAGTTAGAACGATGCAGTATATTCGTAGGGACTCTACCTATCGAGAGAAGAGAGTCTGTTGTGAAGAACATGCCTACTAAAGGGTTGTCATTCGCTCGGATAAAGGCATTGGCTTTGCAGACTTGAGGGCCAAATGCAAAATGTTATCTACTTAATGTATTGGAGAAACTAGGGAAAGGAACTCCTGGAAGTCATTTAGAAAAACAATTCGGTGATGAGGATAGAAGAGAGTTCAGATCACCTAACAAAAGTAAAGTAGGTAGAGATAGTGGAGAATGGAAAGGAGGAAACCGCGGTGACAGGAAGAAGAATGACGGTAAGTGGGGAGACGCTCAAAATCGGAGTTGGAGATGTAGAGAAGAAGAGGAAGATCGAGGAAGGCTAAATGAGAAAGAACGGGAAGCGCTCAAGGAGATTAAGGCCTTAAGGGCTAAACTAGAAAGGATGAAGAGAATGAAGAATGCCTCACCTCGAAGGAGCACGGAGTCGTTCAAGATTCTTTTACAACGAAAGCCTCAGGATAGACGAGGAAAAGAGCATGAGAAAACCGTCAAGCTGAATGAGCGGAGAAAGATCAAATGCACAATTGATGACAAAGAAATATCATGTAGACCTTCTACGGAGATCAATACTGACATTAAAGCGAGAACAACGCTGAAGGCAATTCAGAGAGAAATTTGGGTGCCAAGTATCAGGTTTGAGGAGAGTCCGTATGCAAATGAGAATAAGGAGGAAGATATACTCTGCCGAACTTCTACGGAGATGAATATTGGCATTAAAGCGAGGGCAGCGGAAGGGTCAGAGCAGGGAGAGTTCTGGGTATCAAGTGTCCGGGTTGAGGAGGACCCAGACCCGAATGATAGTCTGACGGTTGGGGTTTCGAGTATTCGGTTCGAGAGTTGCGAGGGAGATTCTGAAGCAGCTCTAGTATGTACTGAAAAAGTGGGTGAGGAATCAGATGAAAATGGAGTCGATCATACTCGCCTTGAAATTAAAGTATCGCCGAGGGGCGAAGGACCGAAGGTTATTGAGGAAACATGGGTAGATCAAACCACAACACTGCAAGTGGTACCAATGATTGAAGAATGCGGCAGACATACTCAAAGGAAAGGGGGCAGGGGATTCAGACACAAGTTATGAGTTTGCCCCAACGTTTAAGTCTGTAGAGCCGGATATCAACTATGAGCTGGCTCAACTTTATGAGACCGTCGGATCGGACGTCGGCTATGAGCTGGTACAATTGTTTGAGACCATGGAACATGCTGACGATTATGACTTAGCTCAACTCTTTGAGGCCACCGAATCGGGTATCGACTATGGGCTTGCCCAACTGTTTGAGACCGTCAATACATATGAAAACAATGTTGAGAATTCTCTCGAGACAACAATGAGTCGTGATCTGAACACTACGAAAGACATCGAGAGCTCTGGAATAGATGGATACAAGTTAATAAGTAAATGCGGTGTGACGAGTATTGGGAATGAATTCGTTGAGGACTGTTTGGGGAGTCAGGAGAGTGATAGCCCACTCGCGTTTGACCAAGAAGATGAAGAAAGGACCGTGATGGAAGTGAAATTTATTGCGGATGCCGACAGTCCAGAAAACATGTCGATGAGAATTATGAAAATGTCAAGACTTGAGGAGAGATTGGAAGCGGAAAACCCCGCTGTGGATGTGAGGAGATTCGAGGACAAGGACTTGGTCGGGACTCCGGCGACTGAAAATTGGGTAGCAGGCTCGGGAATTGTGGTTGAGACGCAAGATTGGAATGTAGACTTGAGTCAAAGGTGGGAATAGGGATTGTTTTTGTAGGATTGTTTTTGTAGTAGTGACTGTTTAAGTAGCAGGGCTGGTGCCGTGTTAGGGTTAAGAGTGCGAATATATTGTATGCAGGAATGGGGCTCCGGGCTCCTGGTGGGGCAGGACAACCTGTCGTCCCTGTTTTTGTCTATCTTGATCATGTAATTGCCTTGGGCACTGGGCCCTGTTAATAAAAGTGCAATTTCGGGGGGGGGGGAAAATAAAAAACATCAATGAAAGAGAAATTGAATGAAGCTGAGTCACCAACAAGTCTTATCGTGCAAACTGTCACCCTTCAAGTTCGGGGCCAAACAGCTGACACACTTATGGGAAGATCCAAGTATTAAGGATGAAGCAGCAATTCAGATCTTTAACCCCCCCTTGGTTGCTCTGATTACAAAAGAGTTGCAAAGACACAGTCTACTTGAGGCACACTAAGTAAACATTTGCGCCACACCTAAGAGAGGTACTGGGAAGTGTGTAACAAGCTTCTTCTCCTTTCCCCTAGTAGTGCCCTTACGCCTCCTCATGTTGGTCTTCCTTCCTTCCTTCCTTCCTTCCTTCCTTCCTTCCTAGCTGTTCCACAACCACTCCGTCACAAAAGGACCATTAAGGTCTGGAGAGGCATGATTATTTAGGACTGAGTCTCAGTAATATGTCTACTTTAAGTGTAAGACTATAATCTAGACCTCAGCCGAACGTTTCTTGTGTGGCTGTCAAGCATTGAAAAGTCAGGGGCTGATGCTGCTCCCCCATTTGCGTCACTGGACCGTTCTCATTGGCAGACCCTTCCTTGGCCATCCGCCAGTGGAAACCCGGAGGGACACCGTGAACCTTTTTCCTGCTGGTTACTGAATCCTTCTTCTAAGGTTTCCTTTCTGCTAGTAATGTTTTTGACCAGTTTTTTTTAATCTGGAAGCAACTATTGTGAGAGACATCCATGAAAGTCTCTGGCGACAGCATGACGATGCCCTAAGCTCTCGGCCGCACCCATGCGCGGCCCGTCGTGATGACTACGCAGTGCCTGTCAGGCCGCCGGCGAGGGTCGAAGTTGGCGTTGGTGCCATCTCTGTACTCAACGGCGCGGATGAAGATCTTGATGCAGGCGTCCAGGAAAATCCTCGGATCCCTGACATTGAACTCCCGAGAGGCGATGTATCGCCCATTTGTAAAGAGGTGGTGTGCACACTTGTCGACAGACCATTCTCTCCTCCTCCTCAGCTCAATCTCAATCGAACAGTTGTACGAGTTCGCCACCAGCACTTGCTTCACCCTTGAGCTGCACACGACAAAAACACACACTCACACACACACACACACACACACACACACACACACACAC